GATATTTAAGCTTGTGGGTCTGATTTATCTCACTTAACATTATGATCTCAAAATGCATCCATTTTCCTACAAATTTTTTACTTTAAAGAAAGATTCTTTTGAAGATGTGAAACAAACTTGTAAGGGGAATATGAAATAATAAAGCAAGATTCTGTCAATAGCCCAGGAGTTTAAATTTTGGAAATTACTCTGCAATGTTGAATATTATTCCAGAATTTCAGAAAGCATTAGACAAAATCTGATTCATTTTAACTTTCTGGTACAAAAAAAAAAATCCACACAGTCTTATTGATCTGGTGATTAAGAAAAAAAAAAGACAAGGTCCAAATAAAGCTTCACGAAGATACCATTTTCTAACCAAGAAAGATAAATCTGTCAGTGAGCAAGCAGATATTGACTTGGTACTTTATATGCAGATAGTTAGTGCTCTTCAAAATAACTTTTATCTGATACGAGAATACAGATTCATTGTAAACTGTTTTAAGAATACAGATATGAATAAGAAACATAATCTCACAACTATATCACCACTTGTAACAGCTTTACATATTTCCTTCCAGTTTTTTGTCTGCATATGAATAAGAATTGAGACTAAACTGTCTATAAGAATGTATAGTCTTATTTTTCAATTACATCACAAACATTTTTTCCGTTATTAAAAAAACCCTTTTGTTGAACATGCTTTTAATGGCTACATAATAATCCATGGTGTGAATGTATATGAACAGTTGATGTGATTCCACATTATTCTCATAGGACATATTTCTAATAATCTATTAGAAATAGACAGTTAATAAGGGGCTATGATCATGGTAAAGGTTTTTATATATCTTGATCAGAGCACTGAAAGACCCACAGATTGGCTTCTCCTAGCATCCTCATTGTGTATTTTTATCTCCAAATCCTTTTTCTAACGCCCTGAGGGGAAATCTGGCTTCTTCTGGGGAAGAGGGAAAGTAAGTCTTAGCACCAATGCAATCATTTGTCGGTTGTTGGGTTGGGACAGCTCTTAGATGCCTGGTGCAAAGTAAACCAAAGAGCCACAGAAACACATTTTTGCAGGTGAAAATTATGTTCACCCCCATCATTTCTCACTCCGGTACATGATGTCAGGTATCCGATTTCTCCATTATGAACGTGCCTGTGCCCGAGGAGTAGATCTCTTGGAAGGAGATTAAAAAGACACCACCTCAAACCCTTCCTAATAATGTGAGAATGTCCAGAAGGCTGGAGTGGAGACACCTGGTATAGTAGCTCATCGTATTAGACAACACCCTGTCGAGGAGCAGCTTTCAAGGATTAGTATTCTTTCTATTAATGGGCTCCACGAAAGAGAATCTGGGACTCATTTGCACTTTTGAGAGAAAACCTGACTTAAGTAAAGTGTGGTATCTGCGTATTCAGCACTCCACACTTCTAAAGGGTCTGAAATAGCTCTTTGGTGACTAAATACATTTCTCCTTTTCCATCACTTTTTCCCTCCTTGGCCATTTTCCTGAAACCATAATTCAAACTTTCCAAAGGGAGAAAATAATCCCTGGGTAATCCTTTTCAGAATTTTTAGGAGGAAACCTTTATTCTTTTATCATTCTTCTGAGAAACCTAACCTTTATTGCCATTAGGATTTACAGTGTTCTACCACCCACATATACCTAGGGGAAGGCGAGGTGGAGAGGTAATGAAAGGAAAAGCCTAGAGAGAGCTTTTCAAAGAGCTTGGATTCTAAGGGCAGGGCCACTTGTGGAGAAAGCCACTCGGGGTATGGTACCCTGACGCCAAAATCTGGGCAAAATACCTTTTCATTGCAAAAAGGTTAGGTAGAGGTCTTTGCGTTAGTTCCCAGGAAATGTCCTCCTACCTGCTTAGCACTGCTGCTGCACAATGGGGAAACCTAAGGCAAAAGACTTTAGAAATAGAGGGGTGTCTAGAAGGCTAAGGAATGTTTTCAGAGTGCACATCATGTCTGCATCCCCATGTTGGGAAGTGGGAAATGGATTATGAGCAGGGGCAGCAAGGGACGCGGGCTCAGGACCCAGCATAGGAGGATGGCGGTCTTTGGACCCCGACAGACTCCTTTGTCACCTGGAGCGTTCTGTTAGCAAAGCTGAGAACCACACAGGAGGACAAATCCACTTTCCCAGCTCTTCCCTGGTTTTCATGAATTTGATTCCTCAGGTGCAATTCCCAATTCTCTTCCAGCAGCTGGAGCATGGAAGCTCCCAGCGAGAGGCCGACAAGTGCCTTGCCTTTCACCTTGGCGAGCCTCGGTCCTCACCGCTGGTGAGCCCCACGCGCCCTGCCCCTCAATGCATTGCGGTGTTTGCCACACGGGCAGCAGCAACAGAGCAATGCGCAGCCGGCTGGGGGATCGAAATTTGCAAACTCAGAATCCTGGGCCTCAGGCCAATGCGGGCTGGGTGCGTTGCTGAGGTGACACATTGAGACTCTAGGGAGGGATGCTGGCACACCAGCTGCATTCCTGGCACGGTGTTTGCCAGTGAGAAACCTGCAGAGTGGAACTGGTATCAACTGCAGAGGGAGACACAAGCTGCTTCCTTAACTTCCCTGGCAATGCTCCCCTCCGCAACTTGTGCATAATACACCCCCCTGCATATTTACAAGAACTACTAGTCCTGGTACTCTTCGGGGCCCGGTTGGATGGCACTTTGAAGAGAAGTGCTAGCATAACAGCAGCCGTCCAGTTTACAAATGTAGCTATAGTGTCCCCGAATAATTAAATTTCATAAAATTGGTATTTAACTCCACAATGACTTATCTCTGCTTGGGAAGGTATTCTAAACCCCACCCCATTTAAAAAATATCTTCTGCTGATGCCAGGAAGAGAACCTAGTATTTGCTGTCGGAGGATATGTGAAGTAAAATTCTAGCTGTTTTCAGAGTTGCAATTTGCTGGCATGATATTAGCTGAGCTCTCTAATATCTGGGAGGAAGGGCCTCCCAGAAATGGCCTCAGCTCTTCAAGATGTCTGATCCACCTCTCCTATCTGTGCCTGCAAAGCAACATGCACCGGGATTGGGCCACTTAGTATTCAGACCATGTCAAGATTCGAGTAAAAAGCCTATATTCCAAAGCTGGATGCACAGTTGCCAGACCAAACACATTCAACAGATCCCAGTCAGATTATAAGAAAGCATGGGGCAAAACATGCAGCCCTGTCTTGTCAATGAAGCAGGAGCGATAAAAGGAATTACTCCATAAATGCCAACTTGGGAGGCTTTAATGAATACAGAGATGGTGTTCTTTCCAGCTGCTCACAGTTGACTGTAAAAGCTGGTGAGGATTTTGAGCATTAATGCTTTCTTCCTCCTCCTCCTCCTCCTCCTCCTCCTCTTCTTCCATCTCCTCCTTTCTTCTCCTCCCCCTCTTCCTCCATCTCCTCCTTTGTCTTCTTTTAAATGCAAAGTATCTCCCAAAGTACTGAGAAAGGAATAATTCCTCTGTGTGCTTCCACAGTTTTACAGAGGGACAGCAAGGTTAGCAGGCCAAGTGATTACTACTGGAAATATCAGATGCAACAGGGGAAATGCAGTTTAGACAATAATTCACATATGTGAATGCTTAGCTCCATCAATGTCAGCTTTATTTTCTTCCTGATATGCACAAAGCTGGCACACAATTTTAACTGATGAGGTAATGTCATTTTTAATTTAGAGAGCCTTAAGATGTCCACTCTAACTCGTGATATCATCTTTGCAGTTCTCTCCTGAGACTTTATGTAAACATAACTGATATTCCTGGGCAGTTGAAAAGGGATTGTTAAAGATGACATTGGTCAGCATGCAGATTTCTCCCCACTTTGATTTCTTTTCAATTGCCAGAGAGAGTTTATGTGACTGTCATATTTGAGCCATGCCTCAAATTAATATGCCCCGGGACTTTTGAACCAAGTTAAACACAAAAGAAGTAAAGATTTGAAATGAATGGATTGCAATGTTTTCATGTCAGTTCGAGGAGAAAAATGAAGACAAATCAAATTCGCTGGCTCCAAGGTGACTTGGTAAATAGAAAGAAAGCAAAGAGAAAGACTTAAAGAAATACATAATACCCTATAAACAAAAATCTTTTCATTGGGTTTACTAGTTTTGGGGGATGAGTTTCTATCTTTTAAAGATAAATAAGCTCCCAAGCATACCTGCTATCTCAGTATACACTTTAGAATATTTTATTGTCACTTTGTCATACATCTCTGTAGTGCATCATTATTAAGCCTGAAATCTTTTAATCATAAAAATTTGGTGACTTCAAGTATTCATATTTCTTTGTCCAACAATATTCCTTTAAAGATTCAGACTGGTAGGTATAAACAAACCTACTTTCCAATTTTTAAATAAACTTTTTTTTCCTGTGGATAAATTATGTTTTATGACCCAGGCATGGTTTGGGGAAGATAACTGTGTTTTTCACCATTGAAAGTGGCTACTGAGAGAGGTTTTTTTTTTTTTTCTAGGAAGTCTGGAGTTTGTGGAATTGAGTTAAATAGCGAAGAATCTGTTTATTATTCTGTGGCCATATGTTTAAAGGGTTGTTCACAGAAATCAAAGTGTTCTTCATGGAGAGCTCCAGCTAAGGAGACATTTTGAATTCATAAAAGAACTTCACAGTTTGAAAAGAATGCAGAGCATTATGTATTGACACCCTACCACCACAGACAAAGGGGCACAATTTAATAATAGAGAATTGTGCTCACGAGATTTTTCTTTTTCTTGCTAATTGGTTACTTTAACTGACATTGTCTGTGAGTATAATGGACACCATTATTCTTAACAGTTCTGTGTTGTCAGATGATGTATACAGACATGATGCAGTCCATTTTAATTATTTCATTTTGCTAGATGTTGCTCCCTCTGTGTAATTCAGTGGCAAATGCAGACCACACTTCTTTTGGCAGACTGTGCTGGATAATGCTAGTTTTTAAATTAGTGAAACGAAAAGGGTATTTCTCGTCAACCTGATGTCTCCTCTCCTGTTTGTGTGCTAGGTATGACTACGTGGAAGTCATCGATGGAGAAAATGAAAATGGACGTTTATGGGGAAAGTTTTGTGGGAAAATTGCCCCTTCCCCTGTAGTGTCTTCGGGACCATTTCTTTTCATCAAATTTGTATCTGACTATGAAACACATGGTGCAGGATTTTCCATTCGTTATGAAATTTTCAAGAGAGGTGAGTGAGACGCATACAGAAGAAGTGTGACTAAATGATTCCTGACAGTTGTTCGATTTCCCAAGAGAGGGCATCATGCCTTCACTCTTTATAAAGAGCTGTATATTCCCTTTGCAAAAATGCTGAAAAATACTTATAACACATTTAGTACAAAAGTACATACACAGCATCAGTATGAGCAGATAGTTATAAATGTCCTATATTCTTACATTGAAAGCTAGATAAATCCTACTGTACATGTATGTCTATGTACACACATGTCTACATCTACTTGCTTCTTGCATGTGGTCATACAAAGACAAAGATGGTCAGAAAAGAGGCATTTCCTGTACAGTAAAACTTTAGTTGGCAGGCATAATTTGTTCAGGAAACATGCTTGTAATCTAAAGCACTAGTATATCAAAATGAATTTCCCCATAAGAAAAAATGGAAACTCAGGTGATTTATTCCATAACCTAAAATAGTCGTATAAAAATGATTGCAACATTGTAATATAATACAAAATAATAAAGAAGATGCAAAATATAAAGAGAAAGACAAATTAAACTGCACTTACCTTGGAAAACTTTCATGGCTGACGTGAAGGAGACAGAGAGAGGAGGATTATTGTGCAGGACGACTTTCACCATCACTAACTGAATCGTTGCTGTCTATTGGAATCTTTTTCTTTTTGTGCAACATTAACAAGGAACCTGTCCAATGACACTTGCTTTTGCCTCCTTTTGAGAATTTAGAGAAAACATGGCATTGCATTGTTGTTAAACAGATTTATCACTTGCACTGCTACACAGCCTTAATCAGCTGGTGTTTTCCACAGAATTTTGCAGTTTCCCATATTTTACACATCTCCCCGATCTCATTTGAAGTAAGGGATTCCTCCACCATTTCCTCCTCCTCTCCTGCAGATGAGATCTCCTCCGTAACCTCTTGCTGTTGGGAGAGGATCAGCCACATTCCTGAAGCAAGGCAGGATACATTGGCTCATGTGACATTCAGCAGCACATACTACTTCTTCATTTATTAAGATTTATTAGAAATGTTTGCTCATCTTGTGGAACACTCACAATCTTGTGGAACAGTTACTCACAATCCAAAGTTTTGCTGTATTTCCCAAAGACCTGCATGGATGAAAGAGAGAGGAGAGAGAGACTTGTCAGGAGGTCACCAAGTACCAGGTGTGATCAAAATATTCAATGATTATTTGAAAAAAAGTTTATGTATTGCATTAAAAGATACTTTGTCATTAATTTCCCTCAAAGTACTCCATCTTGCTTCTAGCACATTTATCTCATTATTCTTAGAACTTTCTGAAGCCATCCTGGAAGTCCTCTTTCGTGAATGTCTTTAAAGAGTTGCACTACAATGGCGGTTTACATGTCCCTAATCAATTCAAAGTGTATGCCTTTCATGGTGATTTTGACTTTGGGGAAGAGCCAGAAGTCACACAGTGACAGGTCCAGTGAATAAGGTAGATGAGGACTCATTGTCACGTTTTTACAACCCTACCTTTTCTTTGTATGGCACATGGCAGTGACTTTTGCCGTATTTCAAGCATACCTTGTAAAGACACTCAAGAAAGAGGACTTCCCAAACTGCTTTAAAAAGTGGCAAGAATGATAGGATAAATGTGTTCAAACCAAGGGGGAGTGTTTTAAGGTGGATTAATGGTCATATGTCTTTTACTGTAATAACATTTTTAAAAATTTAAATGTTCACCATATATTTTGAGCATACCTCATATTCTTCATCTTCCTCCCAAATAAACTCAGCTTCCTACAATCCTGTTAGTCTCAGATGTGCCATAATTTCCTTGTCCTGCTATCCAGCACCAGCCTTAGGATTTAGATTTTGTTCTTTCTCTCCTTAACTCCCTACCTCAACATGGGTTGTAGTTCTATTTAATTTCCATCCAGAGGTCTCAATGAGTCACAGCTTCCTTTCCATGGCCTCTGCCATTAACCAAATGGCAGACTGTGGTTCTCTTCCTGCCACCTAATTCTGCCCATGGCTTCTCCAACAGACTCCAGCCATGTCCTCCAAATGCCTGCAGTGGTGTCCATCACCTGTTGGGTAAACAGTCCCTGATGGAGGCTGGATATCAGGGCCTGCCCTTGACTTTGTCCACACTGCTCTCACAGATCCCCCTGACTGGCCTCTGGCCTCAGCATGGTGCACTGGGTAAAGCCCAGCAAACCTGAGTGTCAGTTTACATTCTGCCACTGGCTACTGGTAGGAATGCATAGAGCCTCAGTTTCCTTCTCTGAAGAACTGAAGAACAGTACTTGACATGAGCTTCTTGGGTAAATCAGATGAGATGGAAAACATGTACCCAGTGCCTGATACTGACAAGGTGTGAATGTACAAGAGCGTTACAGTGATTATGAACAGAGTTGGTGCTTTCAAAATTCAGAGCCCTTGATCTCTTCCAGGGTGTCCTTGACATCCTTGGAAACTTGACGCTAAGTGTATTCCCCTCCAGATGTTCCCCTTAATTAATCTGCTTTTTACACTATGCATATACCCAAGTTATCCCAGATGTGTGTGTGTACTGTATAAAGTGAATGGAATGTGTGTATATGCAGTATGCTTGTACACGTTCAAATATTCCACATGTAATTTACCGGTAAGAATATTTTGGTAAGAATTTAGTGGTAAGAATATTTTCTTATTTTTTTCATATATGTTTTATTTCCCAATTGGATTAGTAGTACTTAAAAATGGCAAAAAAAAAAAAAAAGTATCTTTTCTTGTCACTGTACACACTACTTGAAAATTGTTAATAAAAAACCATTTAAGCATATATATGTAAGGTCATGGATCCTTTTCCTCCAAAGTCATTTAATGATATCATAGAAGTGAGTCTGTATTCTTTTGAAAATATAACACTTCTTTTAGAATACAGAAATTTCAAGTTTCCTCAAAACACATGAACTATACTAATCATAGTTTAATTCACCAGGAAATTAAACTTGTATCCCTTGACCGTGAGGTTTTAAGCAGTGGATTGTTGTTCTCAGAGACACTGGGCCAGTTCTGAGTCCCTGGGACTGCGAGTGCAGGAGGAACATCTTGCCTGACAGACAGCAAGTCCAGTCTCAACCTCTTCTATTCTTCCTGGAGTCACCCTGGACCTCGGACCTCCCTAATTCCCTTCCTAGGAACCCCACTTTCCTTCAGTCCGGTCTCCCTGATGCTGACACTGAGTCATCCACCTAACAATTGCTCCCTCCCAGCTAATGCAATTTCTGTAGGAGACCCAGTCTCCCACCTGTCACTGTCCTTGTCCCTCCCATGCCCTGGGTCATCCAGGCCCTGATGCTGGATGCTGGCAGAGGCTGTGGCAGTTTCTATGGGTCTCCAAGTGGCCAAGTGGTACCATTTATTGAGACCAGGCTTAGCCACTTGATGTGCTCTGTGTGACTAAGAGTCTGTCAGTTTCATAATAATCCCAAAGGGTTCCCTTAGCTGCCATTACCACCTGTCCCTATTGTCATTAACAGCTAAGTGTGGCATTCTTGTAGCGGCACAAGGAACTCTCCATCTTGTATAGCACGTCAAAAGCCCAGAGTTCGCTGGCTTCCGAAGCTCCCCCGTCTCCGGAGCCCATTTGCCCTTTGGCTCCCAGGGCTGCTGCTTGTACCCCTGCTCACCCCTGGGGGCTCAGCACAGACCCCTGACCCTAGTCCTGCTGCTGTCCTCGCTGGAGGAAGTACTCGGTCAAGTGTGAGTGCAGGAGTGACAAAGGAAAACATTAAAACTTTAAGACAGACTTTGGTGGCTGATGGAGAAAATAGGAAATTGCAGAATCTTTGGATTAGAAGAGTTGTTTTGTTTTGCTTTGCTTTTTTCTTCAAATCTATAGCCCAACTACCTTGTGTTACGCACAGATTTGAGAACTAGGAAGGCTCAGAGACCACCCGAGGCTCCACAGCATGCTGGTGGCAGAGGCAGGGCTAGAACACAGCCCTTCTCTGTTCCCTCTCCCTGGGGGCCGTGCACACACACGCACGCACACTTTGTCAAGACATTTGAGAAAACCTGGGGTCGTCTCCGAGAGCATGAGACATGGCCAGGCCCAGCAAACCCAGGAAAAATGTCTTTCGTTTTTATTTTTATCTCTCAGTTGAATCTTAATCTCACCTGAACAAGTTTACCTTTGTGAAAAAGGCAGGCGCGATTAGTACTCGCGTTAGGGCCTGCTGTTTGCTTTGTCTTCCACAACCTAGCCAAGCTGCTTCTCTCCCAGAAAGGAAGTGGAAGGTATCCAGGGCCCCGTGTTCCTATATTTTGGAAATAAAATTCTAAAGCATTCCCAAAATATATGTGCATGTCATATATATAAATACAAATAAACAGAAATGTGTGAATTAATTACTGCAACTGGCAAAGTCACTGGGCTCTCCGAAGCCCCGAGGTAATTTAGAAATGGACTTGAAAACGTCACCTGGAACAGACCAAAAGCAACATGTTAATAACTTTTTAACCAGAATCAAGTAGATAAGCTTTGGAGGCCACTGTGTGGTGCAGAAACCACAGCCAAGTGTAGCCTCTCTGGGCCAGGCTACTGTGTCCACCTAACAAGCACTGATGTTTGAATCTCCTGTGCCATGCGCACCTAACGCGTGTGCAGGGAGGAAACTCTCGGTTTGTTTTCTCAGTAGCTTTCCCAATGCCCTGAGATGGAGATTCAGCCTCCTGACCTGGGCTTCCAAACACAGAGACCTGCTAGTTCAATTTAGTCTGTATGAATGCCCAGTAAGTCACCTGTGATTGTCGACACCCTGGAAGGAGGTTCAGTTCAGAACAATGTCACAGCCACCGCCTTACTCAGAGTTGAATCCTTGTGTGATGTCGCAGGAGCCCATCGCACCTGCCTGAGAGTGAGAACGAGACAGTGATCAGGGAAGGGAGCAGTTGAGGCAAAGCTCCCTAGGTCTGATCCTGAGGTCGGGAGGTCCCTCACCTCTGATTCGCAGAGAGCTCAAGTGGAGCTGTTTGAAAATCAGGGCAGCGCCGGGGGTGAGGGGCAGCGCTGATGCCCCCAGGCTTTCTGTTGTGTCCACACCCCACCTGGCCAACGCTCCATACAGTGAGCTGAAATTGTGCTCATTTGTACACCCATGAGGTCAACCATCAATGTGTGCGGAAGTGTTCCCGGCCACTCCAATGACAAATCGCTACAATGTGTGAAGCCGTAATGATATCGAACAGTCATCAAAATTGCACCTTGTACGTACATCCATGTGCGTGTGTGCACAAGCACTAACAAGCAACTGTAGAATGGTGTGCTACACTGCAGCTGATACTTTGGGAGAGGTTAGGGTGCCGACCTCAGTATCAGACGACTCCCACCATCATGGCCTGATCACACTTCACCGTGCCCTCACGGAGAGCCACGTGTCCCGGCACACCTGTGTCAACACGGTCCCAAATGACTCACCGCCCTGGTTACAGTGCGAATTACCTTTCACATTTAGTTTGTCAAAGAGGCATAGGTCACATCTGGCACAGTTACTGAGTCACTGGTGTAGGAATCTGAAACCCAAACTCCCTCCACTGAATTCTCTCCCTCGCCTTTGTAAATGTTCTATTTCGCCAATAAAGGGCTGTCAGCCTCAAGATTTAAAGATTTAAGTTTGAAGGGACTATAATTATTTCTCTAGGGCTCTGAGATTCTGCAGCTTATTCATTGTTCCCACATGATTTCGTATTTGTCATTTTTTTCCTCCTGCAACAGCAGAAGTCTTTAAATTGCTGCACACAAATGGAAAACTCAGGTGAACATAATAAATCTGAATTTGACTTGCCTTACCTATCACTAACATGAAAAGGCTGAGTAATGCCTGATTAGGACAGTGATTACAATGGTGAACTTTCATTAGAAAAATATTCTGTCTTTGCCTTGGTTATTTCTCAGTGAAGTTATTTCAGTGGAATTTTCATTCTCTCCTTTTTTCTCTTATTCATAGGTCCTGAATGCTCCCAGAACTACACAGCATCTACTGGCGTGATAAAGTCCCCCGGATTCCCTGAAAAATATCCCAACAGCCTTGAATGTACTTATATTATCTTTGCACCAAAGATGTCTGAGATTATCCTGGAATTTGAAAGCTTTGACCTGGAGCTTGACTCAAATAATCCAACGGGGATGGCTTGTCGCTATGACCGGCTAGAATTCTGGGATGGATTCCCTGGGGGTAAGAACTAAGAACAGCAGGAAGCAGCTACTAGAAGGAGGGTCCTGGAGGAAGGGGAAGAGGGTGTGTTTACAAGTGTCATGATACCTGCACGATTTCTTTTTTCAAAATAGCTGAAAAGGGAAAGGAAAAACAAAGCAAAATGGCAACTTGATGTAAAAAAAGAATGAAATATTTGAGGTCAGGAAGAGCTTTGTAATTATCTACCGCAATTCCTTCATTTTCTAGATAAGGAAGCTGGCCATGAAAAGTTATACAAGGTCTTTAGTTATTTCGAGATAGCTTTTGGAAGGACACATACTTTTCATAACCAAATTATTTTTTTCATTCATTGACCTCCCTCTCAGTCATTAATTCATAGACTGTCAGAAGTTAGGACCTTAAGAAATCATTTTAAGTCAAACTACTCATTTTACAAATGTTCAGGCTAAGGACTGCAGAAGTTAAGTACCTTTTAATTATTTTTTGAAATTTAGGAAAAGAACATTATTATTTGGGCATTTTTAATTTAGACAGATTCCCTGTTTGCTCTCTGTGGAATTTTAGTCTTTGACAGTTGGACTCACTTCCATACTAAATATATTTCATATTTATTGTTCTTGTTTAAATTAATTAAAACAACTAAAAAATATTTATTAAACACCCATCATGTACCAGGCACTTTTCTAGCCACAGGGTAAGAAAAACATTCCAAGATGGTGGCTCTTGTGGAGTTAATGCGGGGTAGAGGGGATCAGACTATAAACAGTGCACAGGACAAATAAATTAATTATGTGCATGGGGTGCTCGAAGGTGACGAGTCCTATGAACAAATCAAAAAGAAAGAAAAAGAGGAGGTAGAGGGAGGGAGAGTGGACAGAGAGGGAAGCAGGGAGAGAGGAAGGTAGACTGTAGCAGGGGAAGACATGAGAGTTCAGGAGGTGGAGGAAGGGCTTGAAATTTTGTAGGGTGATCAAGCTGGACAGATGAAGACAGTGACATTTGAGCAGAGATTTGACGGAAGGGAGGAAATAGCCATATGGACATCAAAATGAAAGTTTTCCATCCAATCCTGGTGAATTAGAAGGTGAATGGCAAAAATACATACCCAGATTCTGAATAGAAGGAGATACTCTCAAATAACTCGTTGCAGCAGCATTTCTTGTCTTGTGTTTAGTCTGGTTTCACATCAAGATTTCTCTGGAGAACACACACTTCACAGATCAGAAATGACAATTCACAAGCTTTTGGCGGCCCTGCAGTCAGAGATGCGGAGCCATATCCTAAGCAGAATCACATATTATTCTCAAGTTTGAGAAAAGAATAGTTGCTAAGCTGGACACAAAGAACAGGGTGTGAAGAAGACTGTTGTAGTCTTTGAAATGTCCTTAAAACCAGTCACTTTACCAAAAAGCATTAGGAGAAAACGGTTGCAGAAGAACCTTACGTTGTCATTGGAGTTAATGGGTGAATTAACACTAGCTTATTATCTTCTTTGCTCTTTTACCATATAAACAGGGTTATGATGAACTTATCAAAACTCCTTCATTAAGTAATGAGATTTTCCCAAACACAATGTTGATTGATTTCCAAATATTCAATCAGATAATTAAGAAAACAATATTATTATAATGTTGTAATGGTAGTTGGATCATTTAATAATGGGTTTATTTGTTTGTGATCCACATTTTCAGCCTTCCTTTCTAGAACTTTCATTTAAATTGACATCTGAAGAGGAGGTCCAATCAACAAACTTATTTAGAATACTTTCAGATAGAGGCACATTGTTATTAGTGTCAAGGGTTTTTCAACATAGTAATTTTCTGGCTCTAGAAAATCACTGAGTTGAAGCAAAGAACAATTAACAATAAGAGTTTTCAGCCTTGCAATGTATCCATGTTTTGAACTGTGATATGTTTGACTTACTCCCAGAGAAAACTGGGTTTGGACTCTGAAGACGTGTTTGTGTATTTGTTAATATGTACCTGGCTTACCCAGCCTACACCAGCTCTCTCTTTTTCTAGGCAAAGTGAGTGTCTGAGTCCTCCCAAGTTTTCTGTCAGTGGCACTAGAAACATTTTTGTCATAATAATTCAACACATCCAGTTCCTCTGCCAACAAAATTGCTTTTAGTCTTTGATATCTTTCCCAAAAACAACAAGCAGAAGGCGCGGAAGGCTTTTAACCATCAAGTGATTTTATGTTGCATTTTATCATAAACATTGAATTAAATGACTAAGTAATTGAAAGCCATCCACTGATTCATATTAACTTTGAAGAAAAGCAGTTTACTCCAAAACTCAAAACTCAAGGCACCCACGTTGTGAATCACACATCTCTACCTGTCACTCTCTCAGAAGTTCTGTGGGTTTGCAAACAGCGACCTCAATGGAAGTGGAAGTTTGCACATTGTTCGGGATGAGAGTACACTGGCTGGAGACCTGGTAGACGCTTGTGCTGAAGGGTGGAGCCAGTTGTAAATGCTTGGCTCCCATCCTTGGGCACAAACACACCCAGGCCTCTGTCCCGGCAGGGAGAAGAGACTGGATCTACAGTTGTTACCTACATCCTCAGCATTGTCCATCACCTCAGGAACGAGTCATAAAATCTGAAATGGGTGGAGCTTTTAAAATGTACTTTTATGTTGGAATTAACCTTCTAAAACCGTAAAGACAGATATAAATGTGCCATTTTGGGTGGGGGGTAAGTTGCAAAGTTTATTTTATTACTCTAGATTTTTTTCACCGAAAGGTTTATTGATCTAAGAAAAGTGTCAGTGACCTATCTTGTACCATTCAAATGGCTGCCTTTTTGATCTCCTCAAAATACTTCATTTTATAAGTCAATCTTTAGAATGGATCATTGCTTTTTTTACATAAAAATATAATAGAAAACCAAATTTTCTTAATTCTGAGGTGTAATTATATTTATTGGAGAGATTAATGGGAAAATACACAAGAACTACATTGTTGTCATTTCCTGCTGCAAGTGTATCTTTTTAAATAGCAGAAAATGCTATGTTACTTTACACCTGAGTAGATCCAATCATTACAGTCCTATTCTACCCCAAAAGATAGCCTGGCATATCCTGCTTGCTTAGATTCCTCAGTAATTCAGTTTTTGAATTATAGTTCTGGTTTTTGTGACAGTTTTCATTCATCTCTTTGGCCTTTGGGCTGTAATAACAGAAAGAGGAAATCCAATAGCTGTATTCATGTAGATACACAAATGAGCGCACACAGGAGACAGAGGAGAGTGCTTCATCCACTCTGGTTCAGATCAATATTGCATTAGCTTGGTAGGCTGAGGTCTCGCTGCTGTTCAGGAAAATTCAATACCTCTTTGTATTATGTCTCAGAAACCTTTCACTCTCATATCTTAAGGGCTCCTAAAGAGAGTTGCATGCCGCTGACTGGGGGCATGTTCTAAAGGACAGAAGGCAGATTTACCCAGTATGTCTCAAACATTATAAACCAGTGAGTCATGGAGACTTCTAAATTATGAGTCTGCATCAGACAAGCTCTCTTCTGTTTCCCCTTTCAAAGAGACTCCCCGGTCCACCCTCCCCAAGGGAGCTGGGTGGCAGTGGAGGAGAGGACAGCCCCAGTGATGGCAGCTTCCCTGGCCAGTGTGTATTCTTGCGAAGGTCAGTAGCTGCAGTGATCAGAGAGCAACCCCCAGGCTTAGGGCTGTAAAAGTTTGCCCGCAAACTAAAGGAGGGATTCTGAAACCACACAAACGGAATTTAAACGAGGGGGCATGTGGAGGAGTATGAATGGACTAAGGTTCCCCGTTTATAATCGCAGACAAGAAATGAGTTTGTTTGGTTTTTTTTTTGAGGAAAGGAAAGACCTGAGTTTTGGGCTCTAGCAAGATATTTTCATGCATATGTTATGTGCAACATGGAGTTCTGTGGGAAAGAAAATAATGTTGAATTAGTGGTAAGGCCATATCCAGAATGAAGAGAATCTGGGAAAGAACTAGAAGAATTTGAGGCCAAGATTAAGCTGAAGAGAAGCAAAAAGCAGGAAAACGTTTTGTCTCCGGTGCTTTTTTTCTGCTGGCGGGGAGGTCTAACTAACAACATTGTCTCGCGCTATTACAAAGGGTGTGTTGGTGACAGTGTGACTCCTAGATATCCCACACCAGTCTCCCTCACTGTGACAGCTTCCTTGTTTTCTTCCTGATAAAACAGTCCACACACACAGCCTTTGGTTTCCAGAGAATGAGCGAAAGTCTTTGAATTCACTCAGATGTGTCACTTTGAACCCATAGACTTCATCAGGTATTTGAAGTAACCTATTTTGCCGAAGATCTATGCACTCTAAATAGTAAGGTACTTAGAGTATCTGCCTAGTAAGAACTCGGCCTGTGTGTGGGCTTCCGGTGTGGAGTCACACTGGACACATCTTCCAGTCCTCAGCAGCAGCCTTGTGCATTCAAGTGCCTGCCATATGCAGGACCTGGAGCACCCCGTGCTCCTTGAAGGGCTGTTCCCCCAGGAAAGGGTGCACCCACTGTTTGCCTTCAATGAATGAAGCAATAACTCCTAGTTGAAATGGATGAAACCATGGATTTCAGGTAAAGGAAAACAGTCCACGCCAGACCGTCCTTCTAAGTCTAAGCCATCTGGCATGTTTTTACTATATGTGCAATGAAAAAAAATAAAATAAAAAGAAAGAGACCTCTCTCCCTCCTTCCCTCTACTTCCCCCTCCCCCTCCCTCCTCTTGCCCTCCCCCCCTACTGATCTGGACAGGGTTATATGGAAAGATTCTCCAAGTGCAGGGGGCTTCTGCATTGTTCATAAGGCAATTTACAATGGCTCATTGCCAACGTTTATCCAAAGCACTTCAACAAACGTTTGGCCAGTTTAAGCCAAATAATGATTTGATATCAACACAAACTAGTCAGTGTCCTAGATCATTCACTGCCTCAGGTATACTTTTTTCCTGTTGTGCACAACCAAGTGTCTGCCTTGGGCCATTTCTTGGCGACAAGCAGAATGTGGTGTATTGGAAGAGAAAACCCGAAGATGAAAATCCAGAAAATGCCTTTGCCATTCCCTTTGATTTTAATGTACCATTCTGTGAAAGTCATTGGCATCTACAGGCTGTACATTTTTACTTGTTACAGCTATGGTGTTCGTTAGGCGTCAGACACTGTACTGAGTAGGACCTGAGACCTTTCCCTTTGTTTCAAGGGGTGATGTCCTTCTCATTTTGAATTCAGGGCTGAAAGATAGAATAGGGAAGGAAGTCGGGGATCTGGCGTCCTGGAGCAGACCACTTTACGGCTGCAGTTCCAGGACAGGGCTCACGCCCATCCCTCCAGGGCCAGGAGAAGTGAGCAGGGGCAGTTTCGGGAGAGCTGGTCCACCTGGCGGGCTGCAGGCTTTTTGCACAGAGCCGCACGAGCTGTTTGGACTCAAAGGGGCCGCTTGGCGGGCTCAGCCTCATTCTTCGCGACTGAAGCCAGCCTTTTGATTCTGTTCGGAGAACAGCCCTGCCCGCTGAGGAATGTGGCGGTGCCTGTTACCGCCCTTCTGAGCACACTTTACAGTCCTCTCCACAAGCCCCCTCCCCTATGTTCACTGCGAACCAATTAACTAGGGAAGCCTTACATTGGGTTAGAATAGACTTTTGGGTTCTGCTGGGACCCATGTTTGTAAATGGTTATTTTTGCATCTGCTCTGGAAGAAACGACATTTTGACCTTCCATGTGTTTCTGCCTTTCCAGTCGGCCCTCACATCGGTCGTTTCTGTGGACAAAAAACACCAGGTCAGATCCGTTCTTCATCGGGCATTCTCTCCATGGTTTTCTATACCGACAGCGCGATAGCCAAAGAAGGCTTCTCAGCCAACTACAGCATCTTGCAGAGCAGTTTCTCAGAAGGTCAGTGTGATTCATCTTGCAAAGCCCTGTGGTAAATACTCCCTGTCACTCCGATTTGCACACCTGCGCCCACAGGCAACACTAAAGAATTGTTTTGTGAACTGCGGTGCTGAGTGTTTTTCTCTTTCAAATTTTTTTTAAATGAATGGCAATAGGAAAGCCTATTTGGTGTGCTTTCTTCATAAAATCGTGACTGAGACTCTGAAATCATTGGAGGAAGTGGAAAATAGCAATTCAGTGCCTCAAAACAATGAAATGGGACCAGACCCCTCGCTGACACCCTCAAATGCATAATAGCCAGAGAATCATAAAAGGGAACCGATGGTCAAAGCAGTCACATAGAAAGGACAGTGAGTGTTGCTTTGGTTGTAGAGGACTCCAGGGAAAGCCATTATGTTTCCCTTTCTTACCTGACTAAAAGTGGATATTCATGAAAAGAAGCACGTTTCAATTTTTGTTAATACCTTTCCATCAAAGACAGAGAGCAATGGATTTTTATATCCTATTAAAAGACTCAACCCAACTCAACCCTTTCTCAAAGTTTAGTGGCTTCCAGCTCTTTTAAGAGCTGGGGGAAGAAACCTGAACGGACAAAGATGCACATGGTGTGGGTGCTTCATCAGTTTGAGCGGCCAGGTTGTATGGTGGCTTAGCAGGAGGACACAGGGTGTTTGGAGACCCATCCTAGAGATTCTCACACCTCTTCTACGAAAGCTCACTAGGAAATCAGATGGCTAATGACAAAATCTTATTGGCCTTACTTTATTTGACTAATTAATGTTTGTGCCTAGAAATAATGTTTATATTACAAATAACAAGCCCGAGCTTTAAGTATGAAACCACTGAAAGAAAACCTTTTATGTCATAAAATTTCATCTGTTAGGATAGAAAATGTAGAAAATATGAAATTTTGATTAGCTAAGTGTGTTCACTTTCTGTTACTATAGTAAATACCCTAGACAATCAACTTATAAAGGTAGAGGGTTTATTTTGGCTCACAGTTTTGGACGCTCCAGACTTGACTGGTTGTATGGTTACTTTGGGCCAGTGGTGAGGCAGCAGGTCATGGTGGGAGCTCATGGTGGAGCCAGGCTGCTCACCATATGACCAGGAAGTGCAAGAGAAGAAAATGAGGGAAGCAGTGTCCCACAGTCTCCTTCTAGGGATGTGTTCCTGGTAACCTAAAGGCCTCCCACTAGGCCCCACCCCTTAAAGATTCTACTGTCTCCCACTAGTGCCACTTTAAGGACCAAGCCTTTAATACGTGAATCTTTGGGGGGCACTTAAGATCCAAGCTGTAGCATTGGGATTTTTCTGGATAGTTAAGAGTCTTCCATTTCATTCCTAATGCTTTTTTTTTTTCACTTGGTTTACCTTTTTGTAAAATTCATTATTCATGTCTCAATTATCATCATGCTAACTCTGCTAGATCTAATGGAATATTGTGCAGGTTTTGGTGACTCATGGTCATCATTGTGAGCATTATTATCTTATGCTACAAAACTGTGGTGCTCTTTGGGCCACATGATACTGCAACATAGCCCCTAATACATACTTCTGTGTCTTAATAAACTAGACTAAGGATGTTAATAATTGAGACCAGTCCAGGGGCAAAGGGCATGAGAAGAGAGGGTATTAGGGATAGGTGTTTTGGGTACCAATATGAGGAATCTGAAAAGGAGTAAAGATCTACGAACTGTGAAGAGATACAGAATGTCAGTGTTATTAAAGATTAGAGAAAAATATTCAATATTAAAGTTTTATTTAAATACAATTTTTATGTATAATCATATCACACACCTACACACTCATTCATTCAACTTTTGAGAGAAATCAGAATCTCCATCATTTCCTAATGAATTTGGAATAGTATTTTTACCAACCTAGGCCTACTTTGGAAAATTATTAGTCACTGTGATGACAGTCATAACCTTATTTTTAAATAATGCCAGGAAAATGCAAGTGTGAGGGCTTCTTTCATGAGACTTTGAGTGAATGAACTCTTTAGTTTTCCAGTGTTGAAAGAAAAGCGTGTCCTGGGTCCATGATGTTTTAATGAGCCAGGCCCTGTGGTTCCTTACAGATTTCAAGTGTATGGAACCCCTGGGCATGGAGTCGGGAGAGATTCACTCCAGCCAGATCAAAGCCTCTTCCCAGTACAGCACCAACTGGTCTGCAGAGCGCTCCCGCCTGAACTACCCCGAGAACGGGTGGACTCCGGGCGAAGATTCCTTCCGAGAGTGGATACAGGTACGTGGCCTGAGCCCTGGCATGGCTAGAAGTGAAGGAGATTTGGGTCTTCCAGGAAGGCTAATGTATAGAATCAACTCTGAAAACTGCCCTCAGGTAAGAAGAGCACCAGGTGTCATCATCGTTAAAGAACAATCACTTACTGGGAGTAGGGGAAGGCCAGCTCAGATGGCCCCTCCTGAGCATCCACACACCCTCCCAGGCCCTTAATGCTGCTCTTCAAAGAATTTGAGGACAGATTTGAGCAACTGAAGGATCCAGTTTTTCCCAACAACTACATATTTTTACACCTATGCTTCCCACTTTGACATACTCCACTTTCCTTGGTGAAATACATGAATTCTATGTGTAGACATGCATGAGTCATTGTTTCCAAGTATAGGCTTTTTGGTGTGTTCAGGTTAGAAGAAGGGAAGGAGGGGAAGAGTGTGTTTTGCACATAGGTCTATGCACCCTAGGAAGGGGTGTAGTCGACAGAGGGTTCTGGCCTCTGTCACCTGTCCATTTCCTTATGTCTGTGTGTGGGGTGTACATACCTGTGTCCTCATTCGGGGTGTTGCTTCTGTTTTCCTTACTTGGCTCCGACACCCCTGTCCTCTCATAACTGTATCCCGTGTTACCTCTCCTTATCTTCCCCCAGCCTCTACACTGTCACCCACGACTTCCTAGCAGTCTAACGCACCCCTACTTGCCCTAGCACCATTCCCAAAGCCCATTCCTGCCCACCTTTGATGTCCGGATGCTCGCACCCAAGGCTTGATGCACACGTTCCTGAGTTTTTCATCTATTGTCAAATGAAGTATCTATGTCTGAATCTTTGGGTGAAACTGCAGATAAGTTATCCAAATGGTTATCCACTGAGGAACCCAGGTTTCCTTTGCAGGAGAATGGGCACAACCTGTCTTACATCTCTTGCCAGCAATATAAAAGTGACTCATTCCTGGGGAGAGTTTCTAAGCGAGAAAAAAACCAAGATGATTTATCCTCTCCTTTCCACATCTATTGCTGTCTCAGTCGTTGGAGCACAAATACCAGATTTTGTTTTACTTTGGAAAGATCAATATTAGTTTAACATACACTTAAAGTCAAACAGCCTATTACAGGAGACTGAACTCACGCTCACCTCTAAATGATAACAGTGAGAAACATGGAGAGGGTGAGTAAAGATGGGACTTCTACCCTGGGATTACTGGATCTAGCTCTAGATTAAGCCAGAAGTGAAATGAATTTGCCTGTGTCAAAATAGCTCTTGGTAACTTGTTTTTCCATATCCCTAGACCAAGAAGCAGTTCGGTATGATTGACAGATGTGCCTCTAGAGGCAAGCTTACATTTTGCAGTGCTAAGCATGTTTGCATGGTAATTCAGTCCTATTCTTGGTAATGCAGCGAGCACTCAATAATGTAGGGCCCGTGGTCTTGCAAGAGTTCTGAAATTGCAACTATAGCAGTTCTTCTATGGAAGGCAATTCTGTGTCCACAGGAACATGGAGACTAAATGGGCTCTCACAAAGCATTTGTCAACAGGAGAGGATTTTACATCATTCTTCGGGCTTAGATGCAATTTGAGATTGCTAAAGGAAAAGCATCTCCCATCATCCAACCCTTTTTGTCAGGGGGATAAAGGGGTTAGCATGGTCAGGAGGAGCGAGGTAATCCAACCGCCCACCCCCCAAGAAGGGGGTTACTTCTTGCTCTTGCTGCTCCATCATGGGGCCAACCCGAGACCTGGTCTCACACCAGGACCCACGCTGAGGGAGGGGCATCCTCAGAAATGAAGCCGCCACCAGGGCAGAAGGAGGAAGGGGGTGGATACAGCACTTGCTCTGCAGGATCCCGCACAGAGAGCTCTCACCCACATTTCAGTGCCGCAGCAGAACCACCCAGCCACTTGACACCGGGACAGCCAGGAGATGTTACTGTCCCGAGTGCCAGCTCTCCTTGCTGAGCACCATGAGTGCTGATTGCACCGTTCATGGGCCACACTCCACTTGTGGGGCGCACAGTAGATAGCTCAACCTGTACTGCATATGTGGCATATTTTTTATTGAACCCTCACCACAACCCTGTGAAGGAGGTACAATTATCTCCATTCTAAAAATGAAGATACTAAGTTGCAGGGAAATTTCTAACTGCTTAATCAAGGTCTCCGTGACCAGACTTTGAATTAAGTTCTGTTGGAATCCAAGACCTGCTTTGTTACTTTCCAGTGCACAGTGTCATTATCACACTTATAAATTCAAATCTAGCTTATAAACATCAGGCCCCGCCCTCTACACCGTTCTGGAGCTGAGGAGGTTCACACTGGGATGGGGTGGGGGCCGGCTGTTCCTAAATCTAGGATGCAGGGGTCTTGCTCCTCAATGCTCAAAGCTTGGTTTCTGTTCACCTTGAGGTAAAATTACCTTTTTCTCCCCCTCGGAGCTCAGGGGCTCATTTACATGCTTGCTGTGTCTGTGTACATGGTGGGAACTGTTATCATCCACCGATCACCTAATTATGAATAATTTCATGTGTTTCCAACTTTTCTGAAGCTCCTTGGAAGTGGTTGGCTGGTTGTTTTCATTGGATAGATGTTTTATAAATTAACCAACAAGTACAGCCTAATTTAGGTGGAGGGCAAGAGGCACAAACCTCTAATCACAGGAATGTCAGCACACACACACTTCTATTTTTATGCACCTAAGTATGCAGATGACATTTGTTTTCTTCTCCAGCTTTTTCCCATTTCGCATCAAATCTACCCCACAAAACATGTTGCTGTAACAACACAAGGACAAATACTTACATGTGCTAAATTAATAAGGCAACTTTGGAAGTTGACTTTCCTTCAAGACAGGAACAGCCTCTGGTTCCCATTGTTTTCCCTAGGAAATTACTGAGTGACATAAAAAAACAATGCATCATTAGTCGTGGATGCAAACGTCCACACTGGCCCTTCCTGTGAGATCTGCTGTCTGCCAGGAAGCTTAAAAACAAGGCAAGGAGCCCTTTGGTTAGAAGAAACAAAAAGGGAAGTCCCAATCTGAAGGTTTGCATACAGTCACATCCTCCTCAGAAGGCCACTTAATGTCCCAAGCAGCCAAAAACTCTCAATTGTCAGTGAACAGTTAATCACGCTGAAATTTGCTCATGTTTCCCAGAGTATTCCATTCTGTAGTCTATGTTCTCGGGCTGCTTATCTTATTATAATGTAATCTATTCTTCTTTTGTTTCTAGTTAAATAATCAGAGCAAAGACTCAGTGTATCTGTAGTGCCATAAAAATTCTTATAAGCACATCGTTAGAGCTCATGCATTAAACTCATTGGAACTGAGTTTTCTTTCCTATAAATTAAGATAATGTAGCCTTAACTCTATTCAAGTTTTTTAGCAGGCTATGATGCTACAAATCTCAGTGAAATTCAGACTCCATTTTTCTTTTCTTCTATTACAAAGGACTTAAATACTGTATCTGTTCAGGAGACATGTCCTCATACATCCTAAATGTAGCCACTCACACACAAAGAAGAATTTAATGCGTTAATTATCCCAATGTTTTATTAATGATAGTGTTCACCACACTGTAAACAGATTTATCCTTCCAGCTTTAATTAAAGCTCTTGGGAGCACTTTCCTCAAAACAACTGTGACTTTTCCCTGATTAAAATGCCAGGAGACAGAAAAAAATAAGATAAGAGACACAATGCCTGGGTGGGATATGAACTTTGTTGGTCTGGAGAAAACAAAGTGGCACCACTAATCGGTTGCCACATTGTCCTGTGGCTTTAGAAACTCCACTCTCCTCCAAATTTGAGGGCATTGCTTTTTGGGGAAAAAAGTTTGGTACTAGGTTATTTATGCTTCCACTTATTCCAGAGGGGTAGAAAGCCGTTGGCTTCTCAACCACATCCTGTTTGGTTTGGTCAATCAGCCCTATTATGGATTATTCACACAGAAGAAGGAAACCCGCCCGGAAAACAGCCTGTAGTTGTAAGAAAGCACCAGCAAACCTCTGAAGCAAACTTCCTTCTCTCTCCATTGCATTTTCTAGTATGCATGTTCATTCTGAGGTCTAAGGAAAAGGAAAGTTCTAGAAGTGAGAAACTAGAGCTAACCGTCTGAGGAAACTGGCTGTGATGTTTTCCTTTTACCTGATATGTATTTCTCAGATATTAAAATCTTCCAATTTTCTCCCTGAAGGAACTTTGAAAGCAAACCCCAGTAACAGAAACCCTGAGTGCAGTAGAGAGAGAGGTGGAACTGAACCAGACACACCCGTCACACACCTAACACACACATTTTGTTCACCTTTCTGAAGAGATTCAACATGTGAAGCTGTTCAAACCCAAGTAGACTTTGGGATGCCATGTGGACTTCAAAATTAATTGTGAGGCACGCTCTAACAATACAATTTAATGCTTGCAATACTTTCTTCTGTAAAGGCCCTTTTTAAACACAGGGCTAATATAAGTAGACCAGAGATTCTTACCCTAGGAGACAGTGGAGATGCAGAGAGGTTAAAATGGTTCACCAAAGTTGCAGCTTGGAGACAGCCTTAACTTGTGGGAAATCTCAGTCTTACACCACTGATGTGGCCTTCCTCCTTCACACTTGCAGAGCAAGGCCGAGGCCCTGGATGAGAAGTCCAGACTGAAACCAGCTGGTCAGTCCCTTTTTGTGGTTGGATCTGACACAGAGCTGGGGTCGAGCTCTTTGCCATTCTGTTTGGGTTTTTCACAGTCTGGCCTTGTGATTTGAGGCATGCTGAAGAGATGCTCCCCTGCTTTGTTGGAGAAAGATGATGAAAGCTAGCAAGAGCTTAGGGTCTCACGGATCACAGAGGAGACTCTCTTTCCAATTAGGTTCTGGACCCTCTACTCCTTTGGTCAAGGAGGTCCCATATGTTTCCCAAACACCCCCACCCACAGCTGTGGGTTGCTGCTACCAGCAACAGCCAAGGTGGCTCTGCCCTGACAGAAGATGGGAATTGTCATTAGCATTTGTTGAGATTGGAGAACAAA